CAGCAGAGCGGCGGCGACCCACGGACGCCAGGGCGTACATCCGACCCGTTGGAGAGCACCAAGCGCTGCGCCTGCCACGCAAATCACACCAGCAGAGCGGCGGCGACCCACGGACGCCAGGGCGTACATCCAGAGCACCAATCGCTGCGCCTGCCACGCAAATCACACCAGCAGAGCGGCGGCGACCCAACCAACCCCTGCAAGAGCACCAAGTGCTGGTTGGCGGTGGTTGGTGGTGGTGGATGTTGTTGGCAGTTGTTGTTGGTGGATGTTGTTGGTGGATGTTGTTGGTTGGTGGTTGTTGTTAGTGGTTGTTTTTGGTTGGTGGTCGCGCCTGAGATGCTTCCTCAAGCTGCTCACCATCCCTCATCTCATCGTCTTCGACGCTCAACTGCCTTCGGCGCTTGTGATTTGGCTGCTCCTCTGCTTGGCAGACCAGTCTCCGAAACTCTCTCTCAAGGGTCGCGTATGTAGTTAGCACCACAGTTGTTCCGCGTTTCTGGCCCAAATCTTCTGGCAATGTCCTTTTCGCACCAGCGTATGTCAAAACTTCGATCGCTCCTGGCTTGGTCCACTCTCTCAATTCCTGACACCATTGGGGCAAGCATGTGGGAGGAACCACCACCAAAGACAACGTCACTGGGCTTGCCAGCAGGAGCGAAATCATTTCCACAGTCTTTCCCATACCCATTTCATCCGCCAGAATCCCTCCTCGAACGTCCTCGCATCTTTCACGCTGCAAAAGCCATGTCAAGCCCTGCGCCTGAACATTTGTCAACTCACCAAGTAAACCCGATGGAGTTGGATGAGCTTCAAACTCCACATGCTGGGAACCTTGGCTATCAGGAAGCTGTGGTTGCTCTGTTGTCTTCGGCACACAGATCGTTTCGATCAATTGTTTCTGCTCTTCTTTTTGCAAAGCCGTGAAACCAAGCAGCGCGTCTTTCATCGCACGCTTTCCTTCATGTGCGATCTCAACCAGCTTGAGGTCTTGGGCAGCACAATCTACATGGAGCCAGACTGCAGTAGCAGTCATACCATTTCTGCCAATAGAGGGATATCCAATCTGAATACAATGCTTTGGGATCTGCTTCCCACATCTTTTGCATTTACATGCTCGACGTCCTTTTCGAACACAAAATGTTCCAGGCAGCAGCATCTTTCTCTCCTTCTCCTCAACACTCAGCCGAGCAACCTGCTGGACTGAAAGCCACGTCCTAAGACGCAGACTGAGAGACTATAATGTGTGTGTGATGGAACCAATGTGATCAACACTGGCAAAAGCAAGAACCCGCGAGAATTTATGCTCCCTTGAAGTTCCAGGAACAAAACGGGTTTTGGTCGATCAGTTGAGCCACTATGGATGGTCTTGTTCTAGAATCTAGAAGCCATTGAATCGAATCAGATTTTGCACTTTGGATCTGTGCTGGCGGCTTGCCGTAACTGTGCGCAAACGTGCACCCTTTGCGCTCTCTCAGTTTGCCGCATTGTTGTCAGGTGAATCCGAATAGGTGCCGCGCCGAAAGGTGTGTCAACATGCATACCAAATTCTATGTTTTCACAATTGTCTTGCGATGTTGCTCACACATGCTCGACCGCTTTCTTTTGCTCGATTCTTTCATGCTTTCATGCTTGCTTCATGCGACTCACACGGCTGGGATTGCAGGGTTGCTCGGGTTTGGCAGGTATGCTCGGCGGATGCTTCGGGCAAATTAGGCTCTTGTCTTCGCTCATGCCAGCTACAACAACCGTGCGGGTTTCAGCGTTTTTTGCTCATAGCAACAACATTCTGGCGGTGTGGATGGGCTGGCGGGGTAAATACAAGCGCTTGGTATCTAATGTAATCTGTTGTTAGAAGACTGACGATCTGGAAATTGGGGTTAGGGAAACCAAATCACCAAACCATTCGTGTCAGTCAGGGATCGTACGTGACAAACCCTGGTTACCAGGCTTGAAAGTTCCGTCGACAAGAAAGTATCAGAAAATGGAGTACAGTATCACTTTGCCAAGAGGCTGCTCTACCACCGAGTAAAGAACGTGCTCAGTGCGCGGCGGAGCTCGATTCGCCGATTGGCTCAACGCTTCGACCGCCAATAGTGCGTCGGCCATCGTCACTTTCACAGGAGAAAAGGTCTTTGACCGTTGTATTCAGCCTTTGCGACCAACACGTCAACTACGTTTGAGACCAACATGTGACGATTGAGTTCAAACGTGACTGGGTCATCCCTTCATTCATGCTTGATGAGTTGGTAGCAAACCTGCTTGTCTTCACGCGGCTAGAACTGCTAGAATCTAGATCTTGAGCCATCATCATGTCACATGTCTGAACGTATTCAGGTGTTTGCGCACCCTCGCTGCAATGGCCAGTGACATAACAAGGTGATGCACCTAAAGTAGTGAATATTCTTGCAGGCACTGCATAGCATTGGAAACATGTGCCACAAGTCAGCTTCGAGCTGTCATTCGGTCCCAGTCCAACCAAAAGAAATAACCGGAGCTTGCAAGAACAAGCTAGCATGATCTAGCAATTGGAATTGATACTGCGCTATCGGTGGATAGGCATGCATGGTGGGGCAATAAATCCAGCGTCGTGGCCGGTCTCCTTCGCCTCCTTTACACCCGAACTCGTCCTCTCACAATTGTGTTCATGGTTTCATGACCAAACTTGATTCCCAGACCAGCCAAAAATGTACGTCATATATAAACAAACATACCCAAACCTCGATGCCATGGGCCTATTTTGTTGCACTATGTTGAATGCTACACTTTCATCCTTAGACTACCTAGTGTGCCCAACCTAGTAGCGATGGCGTCCAACCTAAGACCGATGCCCCTCTCAAAGTCTCAAGTGCTCGAGTCCCCGCACCGGCTGCGGCGCCGATCTCGGCTCCGCCGGTCGCGGCTGCGGCGATCACGGCTGCGGCGCCGGTCTCGGCTCCGCCGGTCGCGAGATCGGCGATCCCAGCTGCGGCGGCCGCGGCTGCGCTCCTGCCAAGTGCGACGCTGACTGGTGGGGGTTGTGCTGTTGGAATGCTCACACACATTCTGGTCAGTGCCTCTCGCCGCTCTTCCTCCCTCCGAGGCTCCTAGCCAAACATGGTGAAAGTCTAGTACAATCGTCCATGGTCAGTGGATGTGAAAGCACCACCGTGGGCGCAAAGTGCTGCTCAACCTGCAACGACCGGAGTCAAAAACTCAGCAGCTTTGCTTCTCCTCCGGTGGAGGTGGTGGCGGCGCTTCAGCCTAGCACTTTGACAATGAGTGGGCCAAGGGCAACGGTGAAACTAATACTGTACCTATTTACCTTTTGAATATGCAATTGCAAACTATAAACATCCTCACAAATGAATACCCAACTTTGATGCTCATTGAAAAAGCCTGAAAGAAGAACTCTTCAGCCATGGGCTGCACTAAATCACTGAGAGTTAGTTTTGTCTCCCCTGCTTTTACTTGTCTTGCTCATTGGGCATACAATGCTGAACCCCTCACGGTGCTGGTGGTTCTGTGGCTGGGCTGGTTCTTTGCAGAAAGGACCATTTTCTGTTCTGTTTTAGCTCTTGATATGTGTCTCCCATCCATGCAGCGGAGCTCTTTCAAGGCTCCAGTCCTTTGATTCAAAACGTGTTGCGGCAAGGTTCTCAAAGTTCTCTTTTTTCATCCAAAGCCAGTGAGGTCCCTACTTCCATCCTCGCCATACTTATACCCAACTCATACCCTTGTTCAGTCAGTCACCGAACGAATCTTCATCGCGTACACCGACTAAACCCAAAAGCATCCAACGACATCGAGTCGAACGGTGTCTGCTCCATAAGCCGCACGCATTGTCTTCATCGAACCGGGAGCTGCTCAAACACCAAACGGGTGAGACACGAACGGGTACATCAAGGGCCAACGGGTGCTGGCGTCAGAAGATCCAACGGGCCAAGGATTTGCCTGTCACCAACGGGTGCTCGAATGACTTGCTTCGTCCAAACCAATGACTCCGGCCAAACCCATCGTCTTTTTATTTGAAAGAAAACAAGCGAGAATCAAACGAACAACATGCCAAGCTCTGCAGTTGTTTTGGATCTCGTAGCTCAAGGGCCCCTTGATCTTGGTTCCTTTGGCCTGGCAATGATTGAATGCACAATGCAAAAGGTGTTCATTTCTACGGGCCACTGATGGCAATCTAAAACGAATGTTGTCTGGTCGTTCTAGCCACAGGTAATGCCTAAATTGGAGCGAAGCAAAAGTGACAATGGTCGGTTGAATTACTGGAAGGTTTACTTGTCTGGCCACAAAAGGCATTTGAACACTCAATTGCACCCTGGGCCTTGTTTTTGGAAATGACAACAAAGGCATTCTCGTCAAACTTAATGTAACTTCCATCTTTTCCTGGCAACAGTGAGGGTCTCTGCTTCTCAACATAGAAGCCCTGGAGGGGTTGGAAATCCGTCCTTGAACTGAATCATGCTCACTTGCACATTCAACTCTTCTTGTTTAGCCTGCGTGGCCTCACCCGTACTTGCAGTAGTTATATATATATATAACTGATAACTTAATTAAGGGCAGAGGATCCAGGATAGCTTACGCTCGCACTACTAATTGAGGTCCTCGATTCTTTTCTATATAAAGGAATCTCTTTTTGCTAGCTGCTACATAATTGCCCAGGAATTACCAAAAGAAAGCACTTGCGACCTTGCCGACGGTACAATTGTGCTGGGATGACGGTTTCTCTCCTCGACAACATGTCGCTCAAGCGATGTCATGGGCCAAAACATGTAAACGACGCACAAGGAAATAAGTGGTCCAAATTTAAGACACAAATGATATTAGAAGATCAATGAATGAAACCATCTGTTCCAGTGCCCTGAAGATTGCTAACTTTCTGAGAGAGTTTTCAACACCCTCCTAGCTGACTTAGGAAGACAACTGCACTGAGACAATGGGCAGGTCTGATGTTTGCAACGAGGGCTTTCCACGTTGTGGCTCCAAGAGGGCGACATGGGAAAAATATCAGCAACAAGAAGCTACTAGGGGCTCCTGGCCTTACTAGGAGCAAGGACGCTACATGAAGCTACAAGTAAAAAACAAAAACGACTTGTCAAACATGATGCAAACGAGTTGTCAAATATTTGTACGTGTAACCATTGGTCATCTTGTCTTCACAGGAGGCTCTGTAGAGCGCCAGCAGTTTGCAACAAAACATGCACATCAACGGGCCTTTCGAGTCCTAGCGATGATGCCCTTCGGCATCTGTTCTCCCTGGCTGACTTGCTGATCAGAGTCTGACGCCAACAAAACCAAAGTAGTCCAAAAAGAGAAAGAGAACTTGATGGTTGAGGAGTTTGCAAATAAAATCCAATCCATCGACAGGCCTTGTAGAACTCATGCTTGTCACGGACCTTGATGCAAGCTCTGAACTGATTGATTGCTGATGGTTTGATGATTCTCTCGTGTCGCAATCCCGAATCCTTGACACCTGTTTGCTTCAAATCTGATTTGCAACCCTGAGACTTGAAAGCTCCTAAGATACGATCGCCTGCTTTTTCAGCGTCCGGAAGCCAAGGATGCGGAAGAGCACACATGTTTCAAAACGTGTTTGTCGCGTCTCCATCGTCTTCAGTGCGATCGCTTCAACCTCGCTCTGGGAACTCAAGCACTCACTCGGATGCGGTCTCCGATCTTTCCAGTGCCCCACTTGTTCTGGCCTAGGAGCGACGCTACTAGGGGCTCCTGGCATCGCTACTAGGAACAAGAAGCTACTAGGGGCTCCTGGCCTTACTAGGAGCAAGGACGCTACTAGTGGGTAAACGGCACAAGGCTGCCCACGCTCCACTATTACAGGGTGGAAAGGTTGGATCCGGTGCTTCTTCAGGTGTCAAAACTTGCATGCATGTTCACTGTTTTGGGGAACAGCACAACACCACTGCAGCTTTAAAAGCAGTGCAGTAGGTAGTCACCGTGGACTATATAACTACTGTATATTTGGTCATCCTGGAAGCAAGTGAAATTGAGGTCTTCCACTCTGCTGAAACCACTTGTCTGCTGACGGAGAGTCCAGTGACTAGCCATCAACTTCTAGGCTGAAAAATCCTGAACATACCAGCAGTAAGTTCAGTCTCTGTCAGACTTGGGGCACAGGCCCAAGCCGATAATGCAGGCCTTGATAATCCCGGTGTTGTCAGCACAGCGGACCTGAGACTACATTGTTTCTTTGCGAGTGCGAGCTGATCTTTCACACCATCGGCGAAACATGGACTGCACTGAGTTTCCAGCAATGGATTGCTTCCATAGACCAAGTCTCAACGCCGAGTTGAAAAAAGCCATGGCCAAGCGCAAGTCTCATCAATTCTCAAGCCTTGTCAAGCTTGTGGTCTCTTCCTACAGTCTGTCGAAACTATACGTGATATCCTTCATGCCCTGGGGGGAGTTCTCTGCTTCTTTGCCAAGTGTAGGCATGGCTGTATACAGTGTGCCTGTTCCTAGGTCATAGGCTGCCTCTGGAGTTCAGAGTCGCGATAATCCTCGTCCTTAAAACAAGTCTACAAGCATGTTCCACAAATCGGCGCTGGCAAATACAAGATAATACAAGTACAAGTGTCTATTTTAGCTGCCAAGTGCGCTGTTCAGTTTTGCCGGCTCTGCGAATTAGGGCGGCCCAGCTCAACTCGTCCACGCTGCCAGCCCCTCCAGGACGGGCTTTATGGGCAGGCAGCGTGTTGCATATTCATGGAGTCCATGGAGTGCGTTCAACTGTACTGAAGCCTGAAGAATTGCACACTGTGCAGCTGGACTGAGCACGTTTGCCCAACACTATACACCCCCACACTTAGAGAGCAGTGGCGAGGAACCGCTTAAACTCCATCAGTCGTTCTTGCAGTTTGCACTCTGGGAAACAAAGGACGGTTATGAACCCATTGACATTCCCATGTACCAGATGCTCTTTCCTTGCCCACTCCAAGTGGAAGTCGAAATCGATCATGTAATCCATGGAGCGGTCTCCCAAAAAGAGATTTCATGATTTCATTTTTGTTGTTTTCTTGAGATTTCATTCACGGAGATCTGCTCAGCATCGGCCCGCCACGAAACGGACAGCCAGCAAGCAGGGCCAATGCAACTAGAGGAGAACTTCGCCTCGCATTGTAGAGGGCGAGTTACCAGCGTGTTTGTCGTTGTCACATGTTG